CGAGGAAGTGATATTTAAGTGTCCTCTGGGAGCACAGAGACTAAGCGGGGACTGGGTATATAAACCAATAAATACAGAGCTATGATACATGGACATAGAAGGTAGAGAGGCAAGTCTTGCCACACCTGTATTAATCATACACACACACACACACACACACACACACACACACATCTGGTTAATCTGGCAAGTAAAATATAAGCTGTACACCATAGTCTCCTAATTCAGACCATATTAACTTAGAGTATCTCATTGCCAGATCTTGACGACTTGTATACAAAGTGAAGGGAAAGGGTCACTTTCACGTTTTAACCATGAAGCTTTTCATACATAGAGCACAAGAGACCGAGAAAGACTTGTAAGCAATCCCTGTCCCATCCCGCAACCCCCAGCCCTGAGAATCCGGGAGGTTGTTTACAGTTAGAAACTCAGGCTACTTGACAGTTGGCGAGGTGGCCTTGGAGCGCAGCCAGAAGAGTTGTCCTAATCTTATCTTCTCTGCTAACTTGTAGAAATGGTCTTAGACAGGTCCCTCCCTCCTCAAGCCTCAGTTTTCCCACCTGTACATAGCAGAAGTTGGGAAAGTCCTTTTGAGCTAGTTTTATGCGTTTATGAAAAGGACTTTTTGCCCTATCTCCCCAGGCTAATGTGGGTCCCTTGTTAGCACTTATCATTGTCTGTACTTCTTTTTCTTAAAAAAAGAAAAAAATCTGTTTATCTATTTCTATAAGTATTTGCCCTCTCCTGAAGACCTGACCTTCAGAAGAACAGAGACTCTGCTGTTTGCGACTGTACCCATATGTTTTAGCCTGTACCTGGCACATAGTAGGAGCTCAATAAATATTTGTGGCCCCAATGTTCCCGACGAGCACTCATCCCTACCCCAGCCCTGCTGGCTTGATACCAAAAAGCATTGGGCTGACAGATGTGTAGAGCTTTTTGACATTGCAAAGGGTTATTCCAGGGCCTTTGACATAATTACAAACCCAAAGCCCTGTTACAACAAACACTCCTTTCCTTTCCAAGGCTGTGGAAGAAATGAAGCCAGAATCACAAGTTCAGTCAGAATGAAGTCAGTTGCCACCCATAGTGTGACAGTAGGGATTAGCAAACCCTATTATGGAATTTGTCTCCAAAGCCAAGAATTGTTAAACGTTGTGAAATCGGTACTGCTTGGAGTGATTTATGGAGGTGAACCACATTTGATTTCCTTGTGTCAACCCTTACTTTGACTGTATTCATTCATTTGTTCATTTGTTCGGATAGCACTTCTTTTTAGGCTTTACTGTGTGCCGACTTTGAGCAGAACATGGTGAGATGTGTGCCAAGAGCCCATGGAGGGAAGTGCATCTACCCAAGAACTGCAAGGCTCATCTAAGATGTTAGTATCTGGGAACCCATATGACTCAGGTCTGTCTCTTGCTGGGGTGCCTGGGTGGCTCAGTGGGTTAAGCATCCAATTTCAGCTCAGATCATGATCTCATAGTTTGTGAGTTCAAGCCCTGCGTTGGGCTCTGTGCTGACAGCTCAGAGCCTGGAGCCTGCTTTGGATTCTGTGTCTCCCCTCTCTGTCTGCCCCTCCCCTGCTCATGATCTGTCTCTGTCTCTTCTCTAAAAAAATAAATAAACATTAAAAAAAAATTTTTTTTAAAGTCTCTTGCTACTAAACAGTAAGCCTCAGGGAAACAGGGACTATTTTTTTTTTTTTTTGTCTTGCTCAATATTGAACAGTACTTGGTACACAGTAGGAACTCAATATATAGTTGCAGAATGAGGGAAACAGTATCATCTAAAAGAGATCCAAAAAGTGCTATGGGGATTGGAAGGTAGAGCTTAGTCTCAGCTAGGGAAATTATATGATCAAAACTGAGTGCTTAGTGCTTAGTGCTTCCTGCAGCTGTTCTCAGCCCTATTTGACAATGGGGAAACTGCCACAGAGAGAGAAAATGATTTGTCTGGGGTCACACCGTGTTATGGGCTGAATTTCGTCCTCCTCCCATTCATATGTTGAAGTCTTATCACCTAGTACCTCAGAATGTGACAGTATCTGGAAGGAGCGTCTTTAAAGAGGCAAATAATTTAAAAATACAGTCATAGGGGTGGGTCTTAATCTATATGACTAGTGCCCTTAAAGAAGAGGGGATTAGGACACAGACACCTATGAAGGGAAGAACCTTGCGAAGACACAGGGAGAAGATGGTTATCCATAGGCCAAGGAGAGAGGCCTCAGAAGAATCAACCCTGTTAGTATAACACCATGATCTGCTGTCCTCTAGAACTGTGAGAAAATAAACTTCTGTTGTTTAAGCCCCTCAGTGTGTGGTACTTGGGTATGGCAGCCCTAAGTGAACTAATATGCTCAATAAGTGATGGCAGAGTTAGGATGAGAAGTCAGGTCTGCTGAATCTCTCTCTTAAGCTCTCTACACGGCCCCACCCGGCTGGTCCAGTCAATGCTCCCCAACACCTGCTCCTGGTGAGGGCGAGAATGATGATGCTAACAGCTAACCCATATATAGTGCTTATCATGTACCAGGCACCCTTCTACGTACTTTACATACATTGGTTCATCTAATTCTCTCAACATGCTTGGGAAGTAAGTACTATGATTGTTCCATTTTTACACATGACGAAACCGAAGAACAAATTGAGCAAACAGATTGAGCAACTCGCCCAAAACGCCCCAAAGCAGCCAGCTACTCAGTGCTCCAGGGGCTGAGAGCCGCTCCAGGGCCTGCTCCTACCCTCCTGCTGTTCTACCGTGGTTTGTCTACATACCAAAGTAGTTTTTAAACATGCGAGGTAATGGTGGCACTTCGGGCCTCACTGGGTTTGCTTTTATATAGCCATCTGTTGTGGCCATACTTACCCCGATCTGAAGCGGTTCAAAGGAGGCATAAAACAAATGAGTGGAGGGGAACTGGAGTCTTGCTAAAGAGTAGAGTGTTAGGATTTGTTTGTTCCAGAATCTTCCCATGTGTTAGGATATCAATCAGAAGCACTGAAGGAACGGATTTCAAGCATCCTGCAAGTTCAAAAACATCTGCTAATTCAGTTCTTGAAAGTGAAACAACCAAACGACTCCAGTCAAAGTCGCTTTGCAGTAAGAGACCTGGGTTCAAGTCCTCTCTTGACCACTAACCAGCTGTGTGACTTGGGCTTATATGCTTAGTTGGAGCTTCCGTTTTCTCTTTTGGGAGATGGGGGAACTAACACTCCTTTCGTGGATTAGACATAATATATACAAAAACACTGCCACGGGTGCCAGTACATAGTAAGTGATCAATAAACACTGCTCTTATTAGCTAAGCAAAATGACCACACCCAAAGGCTTTCTCCTCCATGAAGCCTTTCCCAATGTCTCATCCTAGCCTGTCCAAATTAATTGCTCACAGCTCTGGCTCTCCCAGGAAGTTGCTTACACTTCTATTGCCCTTCATTGTATCATAGAAGTTGATGACACGCCAATCATTCTGTCCATCCACTCAGTAAAATTATACTAATCATTTTCCGCATCCCAGTGCTGTGCTGAGCACTGGGAGTTCAGAGATGGGTGCCTGGACACTCGCTTTTGCCCCTATCCAGACCTGTTTTAGCTCTTGTTACCACATCCTTGCAGACTCCTTCAAAAAACTGAGGCTGTTAGTTTAGGCTGGGGAAAGGTGGATGGAAAGAGAGATATGTGCTAGCTATCTGCAAAATCCCAAAGGACATCACTCTGTGGAGGAGATATTACCAGAAGACAGATGTAGTTCCAGAGAACAGAATGGGCCAGTGGGGGACATTTCAGGAGATAACAGGAGGGCATTCCAAGAGAAAAAGATTTTTGTCAATTTTGCTTATAGCTCAAAGAGTTTGGGCTTTGGGGCAACTCAAGGCTATTGAGACCCTGTACTCAATAGGCAGGGTAGTAATAATAATAATGAAAACAACAAAGATTAAAGGTTTTTTTTTTATACAATTACATTGTATTATAGTATTTATTATAGGAACCCCCATCACTTTGTTGGGTTTCTAGACACTTCTTTTATCATTAAAACTATTTTTACAGAATAACGTTTTCAGTTCCTTTCCAGTTTAATTTATAAAGGTCTCAATCTGGTTCAGTTTGGCAACAGATATATTAAAGAATAATTACAAAGGCTGTGTTAAGTGCTGGGCTAGAAGACTCCAGTGTTTTCTGGGGTCTGAGGTAAGAGAACCCCAATGCCCCGGTGGAGCTACCAAAGGGTGGGAACCAAGCCTTATCCTAGCTTCATAACTGTCCTTCAAGCTGAACAGAGTTTAGATGCCAGCTTCTTCAATGCAGTCCACAAAAGGGCATGGAGAACGCGGGGTGGGGGGTGGAGGGCTCTTGCCCAATCTTCCCCCAGTCTGGGCAGTGAAACTCACATATTTTCTGTTTTGTATATAAAAAAAAAAAAAAAAAAAAAAAAAACAGAAGCCCAGATGGTGGAAGTGACTTACTCAAGATCAAAAAGTGGAGAGTGGCAAATGTTTTAATAGTTAACACTTACTGATTCTTTATTATATGTCAAACATTGGCTAAGGGGCTTTGCAGTTTTCTCTTATTTAATCCTCTGACAAGCTGTCAAGTAGTTACCCTTTTTTTTTCCCCATTTCACAGATGAGGAAATGAGGTAAAATAAGACATTTTCACAAGGTTATCTAGCTATTAAGTAGCCAAGTCTGCATTTGCTCTCAATAGGTGGTGGGTTGACTTTGGAATAACAGCCTGATCCTGGACGTGTGTTGGGGGGGCAGGATGAGGCGCGAGGGACAGGTGGACGCCTACCTGGGCGTGCACTGCACAATCTTGGCCTGGGGCTGGAAGCACAAGGAGGGGGCGGGTTAGGGGTGGGGCCTCCGAATCGCGGTTCCCCACTAGCTTCCCCGGCAGAGGAAAAGTCCCGCCCCCCCACTTAAGAAAGGGCAGGGATTGGCTCTTCCGAGGGAGATTGGCAGCACAAAGCACGAAGGGGGCCGCGGCGGAGGCGGGGCCGCAAGCAGGAAGTGGGAGTGAAGGTGGCTCGAGGGGGTGGCCCGCGAGCTGCTACCACCACTTCGCCTGGTCGCGGCCGCCAGGGGCGAGATGGAGGGCCCGGGGCTGGGCTCGCAGGTGAGTGCGACCGGACGCTGGCGGTCTTGGGGCCGGGAGAGCGGCGGCGGCCATGGGGAGAGGGAATGGCGTAGGTGTGAGGCGGCTCCTAACAGGGGCCTCCGGGGGCGGAGGGGCCTGGGCCGGGGAGGAGGAAGCATGGAGACGCCGAGAATGATGCCGGGAATTCTCTCGGAGGCGACCGGAAAGAAAAGGCGAGGACACACGGGTGAGTGCCCTCCCGGCCCTCCAGCCTGCACGGTGGTCCAGGATGCCCCCCGGGACCGGTACCCCCGTGCCCGGCAGGGACCTCAGGGGCCTGGGAGTGGAGTGTGGCCGTTCCTGGGAGAGGTGTCGGGTGACACACCTGAGTTGGACCAGCCTGTCTTGACCTTGGCCTGGAATCCGTGCGGTTCTCTTGATCTCTTTTTTCCGTGGAGTTGCCTGGGCACCTGCTTCGCCCCACCCAGCCCTGTTCTAGCTTTTGTTCCCACATCCTTGCTGACTCTTTCAAAGAACTGAGGCTGTTGGCTTCTGCTGGGGGAAAGGTGGGTGGAAAGAGAGGTAGGTACCTGATAGCGATTTGCAGACCCCTCCCGTCCCCCCCCCCCCCCAAAAAAAGAGGATGCTATTCTGTGGAGGAGAACCTACCAGAAGCCAGATGTAATTCCAGAGAACAGAACGGGCCAGTGGGGGACGTTACAGGAGATAACAGGAGGGCGTTCCGAGAGAACAAGATTTTTTGTCCTTTTGGCTTATGGCCCTTTCCCAGTGCCTAAAGTGCCGACTGACATGTTGTAGCTGTTCACTTAATGTTGGATAAATGAAGAATATCCAGATTCTGCCAACAGTTAGTGAGTGCTTAGCATATACTAGAAGCTTTCATATGCATTATTTTATTCTGGAATTGAAGCATCGTGAAGAACATGATATTGTCTCCTTTTTTACTGAGGAGAAAACTGAAGCTGCCTCCAGTTGGAGTGAGCTACATTGCAGATTTTCGGCCCTTAATGGGACCCAAGCAGTTTGAGATGACTGGATTAGTCGGCCTCTGAAAAAAGAAGTGTTTACAATCCTTACAGTGTTTCTCATGCTTCCTCATTCCTGTCCTTCTTTAAGCAGCCTGATGTGGGTTTAAGAGAAAGAATAAAGCATGTTTAAGAGAAAGGATAAAACAAGAGAATTTGTTAAGTTGTTCTTATCGTATTAGGTGTTCTTGCATTTTGACAGTGGGGAAAAAAAGGTTAGCAAGCCTGCTGGATTTTACAAAAGGGGGCAAGAGGGGGTATAGTTTCACCTGGAAGCTATGTCTTATTTTATTTCTCAGAGAATCTCAAGGAAAAGTTGAGAGAATTACCTGTCTTATGTTAATTACTGCCACTCATTGACAAAAGCCTTCAAGTGCTGAAAGTCCACTCCCTCGTGCTGGAGGGAAAGATAGCCCTGCCCCAGTTTCATGACAGGTGGAGGAAGAGAATGATTCAGAGGTTGAAATTAATGGGGCATGGTAGAGTGGTCATTGTTAATAATAATTGTTGTTGTTAATAATACCATAATAATAATAATAATTGTTTTTCAGTAATAAAGATTTCACCTGTATATGGTGCTCTACAGTTTGCAAAATATTTCCCCATGCTTGATCACTCTGACCCTATGAGGTGGGGAGGGATTGTTATTCTGGTTTTAAAGATTAGAACTGATGCTCAAAATATCAGAGGCATTTGTTAAAAGTCAAATAGCTGCCAAGTGACAGAGTGAAGACTTCATTCTTTCTACTACGTGCCAGGCACTGGTATAGGTGCTGGAGATAAATCAGTGAACAAAACAGGCAGAAACATTCCTGTTCTTGTTGGATTTGGTTCTGCTGATTCCAATTTCAGTGTTGTTGGGTTTTTTGTTTTTGTTTTTGCCAGAATTTGCTTATGCCATTTGGCCCCCAGTTTCCTCTCTGACCTCTTTTTCTTTTTTACTACTTTCTTGCTTGCTTAATCAACCCTAGCCACACTGGCCTCAAGACCTTTGTACTTTCTCTTCACTCTGGCTGGCGTACTCTTTCCTCCTATGCCCACATGGCTTATTCCCCCACCACTTTAAGGTTTTTGTCTTTTTTTTTTTTAATAAAGAGTGTTGCATTTTTTGAAAGTTTATTTATTTATTTTGAGAGAGAGAGCACAGCAGAGCCCGATGCATATTTTGTCTTGTTTGTTGTCTCTTTCCTTCCATTGAATGTAAGTTCTATGAGGGCAGTGATTTTTATCTGTTATGTTCGCTGCTGTGTGCCTAGCATCTAGAACAGTGCCTAGTATTGATGGGTACTCTGTAAACAAATGTCCAATGAATGAACTTAGAAGCAACTCTGTACTTCTGTTAATGTCATGAGAAGTTTTAATGGTTATCTATTAGGTTTCTCTTTGTTTTATTTGATAATCTGGCAGGAATAGTGATCCTCATCCGAGTTTGAATATGATTTTTTAGATCTTGGGTTTCTTTTCAATTAATGCCCAGTGTAACTTTAATAGTACTTATTTACTATTTAGAAAAAAAATAATATGATTCATGATATCTCCATGTGAAAAATATATGATCCCTTATATCTTATATCTTATATTGTTATATCTTAAAATTGTTCTAGTTTTCTATTGCTGTGTAATAAACCACCCTAAAACATAGTGGTGTAAAACAACCCTTGTCATGCTCATGGACTGTGTGTCAGGAATTTGGACAGGGCATAGCAGAGATGGTTTGTTTCTGCTCTACTGCTAGAAAGCTTTTGCTAGAAAGACTCATAATCTGGAATACTTAGTAGCTGGGGTTAGTATCATCTGGTGGTGTCTTTACTCACATATCTGGCAGTTTATGTTGACTTTCAGCAGGAACACCTACATGTGGCCTGGGCTTCTGCACAGCATGGTGGCTGGGTTCTAAGAGTGAGCATCTCAAGAGACAGAGAGAGGAAGCTGACAGTTTCTAAGACCTGGGCCTGCAAACTGGTGAAGCATCAACTTTTGTGGTATTTGATTAGTGAGGCAGTCACAGAGCTGAGATTTGAGAGGAAGGGACACAGACCCTCTCCTCTTGATGGAGAGGTATCAAAGAATTTAGGGACTTTGTTGTAAAAATCACCACAGATGTATCCATATCTCTGTTACATAATTTTCATAATGTCTTGTTCTTCCCTGTGAGGGAGATTATTGAGCCAGCTACCTGTTTCTTGGTATCCTTTGTACTTTTTTAAAAAATTAAGTGTATTTATTTAATTTTAGAGAAACAGAGATAGCCCAAATGGGAGAAGGGGGGGGGGAGAGAGAGAGAGAGAGAGAGAGAGAGAGAGAGAGAGAGAGAATCCCAGGTAGGCTCTTTGCTGCCAGTACAGAGCCCTATGTGGGGCTTGAACACGTGAAACCATGTTGATCATGACCTCAGCCAAAATCAAGAGTGGGATGCTTAACTGACTGAGCCACCCAGGTGCCCCATCCTTTTTACTTTTTTTGAATCTTGCCTGTTGTGTTCACTGCCATATCCGTGTGTCTAGAACAATGCCTGGCACATATAGGGCGTTCAGTAAACATCTGATGAGTAAATGAATGGATTGCAGCTGGAATTGTCTTATTCCCTAATTACCCAATACAGATCTTCCTCCAGTTACAAAGGGTTTACATCCAATAAACCCATCATAAGTTGAAAGTGCATTTATTACATCTAACCTGCTGAACATCATAACTTCGCTTGACCCACCTAAATGTGTTCAGAACACTTCCATTAGCCTGCAGTCAGGCAAAATCATCTAACACAAAGCCAATTTTATAATAAAGTGTTGAATATGTCATGTAATTTATTGAATGCAGTATTGAAAGTTAAAAACAGAATGGTTATATTGGGTACACTACGGTTGAAAGCGTATTGGTTATTCACACTTGTGATCGCATGGCTGAGTGGGAGCCATGCCCAGCATCACAAGCATCCTACCATGTATCACTAGCCCTGGGAAAGATTAAAATTCAAAGGACAGTTCCTGCTGAATGCATATTATTTTCACATCATCATGAAGCTGAAAAACCTAAGTTGAACAGTTGTAGGTTGGGGACCATCTGTATTGGGATTGGTACCTAGCAGGTGTTCTTTACATTTCTCTGAATGAATGGTTAATGAGAACTCTTACGAGTTTGCTGCCATCATGAGAATTTGCCTAGTCTCTTCTGTTACCTTAACATTGTAGGTAGCCAGATAGCAGTGGAGCTTTCACTGCTGTAAAGGGTGTTTGTTTATGTGAAAAGTCTTTGTCAGTGCACATTTCAGTAATGACTGTTGTAACAGCTCCTCTTAGATCCATACGGCATGGATGTGGAAGAAACTTTATAGCTACGCTGATCAGTTCTTTGCCTTTTACAAATGTTAACACTGAAGCCAAAAATAACCAGCATTCGCCAACATTCACCAACATGAAATCTGAGACTTTGGCCTTGTTCTCAAGGGGTTTACATTTCAACAAGGTAAAAATGAAATCAGAGAATACTTTTTTTTTTTTTTTTTTGATAACTAGAGGGTAATTTCTAAGAAGGATTTATTATCTTGCTTTAGTCTTGGTGATAGGAATGTATGGTTGCTTTCCGTAAACAGTTTTATGTGACTGCCCCCAAAGTTGACCTCCCCCAAAGCAGATCATTCCCTTTCTCAATGGAAGCTCTTGTAAAATTTTGGGGGTGTGTGATGTCCAAAGCAAAGGAGATCTTTAAGCTGCTTTGATCATGCATTCCTATCAGTAAAACAGTTTTGAGCTTGTACCCCCAGAGTAAAACCCTACCATAATGTGAAAAGCGGAATCCCACATTTTCATTTTTGTAAAACATCATGTGCTGTGAAATTAATGGAATGATAAATGAAGCCTGCACTGCACGCTGCACGGTCCACATCATCCAGGTACTGGCTGCTGTTTGTTAGTCACTTGTTGGGAATTGATCATTCTAACTTACACATTGATGGCACAGTTCTGTGTTATGTGGTCGGTCAGCTGGGACTTAAAA